AACTTTTTGCTTAAGTATTTTATCTAAGGTGTTTGAAGCATTATTGAACTTTCCCAATTTGCTCTCTAAACTAGTAACCTTAGCTTTTAGTGATGTACAACTAGAGCATGTAGAAGAAGAAGTAGTTGAAGGTTCTTGTGGCCTTTTCCCAAAAGAGATAATTTCTTGTTTAAGTTTGTCACTTATATTTTTGAGTTCTTTGATTTCATTCTGAAAAATCAGGATTTTTTGCTTTATTTCATTGTTTTCTTTGGAAGCCTTTTTGAACATTCTTACCAATTCTTCTACAATGCAAACAACATCATTAAGAGTTAAAGGATCATTGGGAGAAGGTTCTTGATCACTTACCTCTTTTGATGTATCACTATCTTCAATGGCCATTAGACACAAGTTGGCCACTTCCTCCGTTTCCGAGTCTTCACTCCCGGAGCCGTCGTTCTCCCAAGAAATGTAGGCACGTTGCTTCTTCGGTGCCCTCTTGTCCTTCTCGTTCTTGAGCTTTGGACACATTGGTTTGATGTGTCCTATTTCACCACACCCATAGCATTTGGGTGGAGTGTTCTTCTTGGCTCCCTTCTTGAGCATCATCTTCTTGAATTTTTGGACAAAGAGTCCGAGGTCGGTGTCGTCGCTGTCATCATCTTCATCATCAACGTTGTTGTGGGTTGATGTTGTTGTGGGTAGAGCAATAGACCTCTTGTTCCTTTCTTCAACCACCTTTGAGAGTTGTGTGGTTTCATAGGTAATAAGATTACCTCGAAGAGCATCATAGGTCGTTGTTTAGAAGTCACGACCTTCTTCGATTGCATCCACCTTTGAACGCCATTTGGGGGATAGGCTTCGCAGCACCTTTCTCACGAGCTCTCGGGCGGTGTATGTCTTCCCGAGAAGATTGAGAGGATTGATGATGTTAGAGAATATCTCAAACATTTCCTCAATCTTCTCATTTTCTTTCATTGAAAAGAGTTCATACTCGTGAGTGAGATGGTCAATTTTGGCCTCCCGAACCTGAGCGGTTCCTTCGTAGGTGACCTCTAATTTCTCCCACATTTGTTTTGCGGTTTCACA